TGGCCAACACATTACGTTACTTGCTGTGCATATATATGGCCAACACATTACGTTACTTGCTGTGCATATATATGGCCAACACATTACGTTACTTACTATGCGTATAGATGGCCAATATATTGCGTTACTTATTGTGCATATATTTGGCCGAATCTTGCCGTTTATTGTTTCTTCAACTACAATAAATTCGTTTAGTTTGCTTAATTTTTTAATCCTCTTTAAAAGTTTTACTTATTCGATTTTAGATTTCAACGAAAGAAATTGATAGCATTATCAAATGTTGTGCATAATAGTAATATGGTAACTAGGTACCGTGTAAACGGCAAAACTGCATGAATGGGTGAAGGTGACAGAAAAGCACAACTTGAAGAAATTCAGTCTATCGAGTCGATATACGGTGATTTGATTCATTTCGAATCATCTTCACAACTCAGCGTACGGTTTAACGATGTACGGTTGACTATTTGTCTTCCTAAACATTATCCAACAAGGTAAGATGTTGTGCTCTTTTAGAACCATTCTTTTAATGGTAATTAAGTTGCATGTAATTAAGCTGATAAGGTTGGTGGTCCATATAGTATGTCGAAGAAGAAATGGTAATTTCTGGACCATTTAATTGTTTATATCGGCTTACACGCTAGATTAGTTGCAGCTGTTAGATGACTCTCGCACTTCAAAGACATGTCTGAAGTAATCTTTTACTCCGTATCCATTTTCTTTATCCTGCACTTAACCTACTTCTACCCATAAACTTACTGTTGGATTTTTGCTCACTGAAAATTATGTTGGACTGAAAAACTGTTTAACTTTTTTGGTGAAAATTTTTCATGTTATGGCTATTGATTGTACAAGTTTGGGCCATAAATGATCTTTGGATTTCAGCTCACCACCATATTTCGAGCTTAGTGGTCCATCATTAACAGAAATCCAGAAAGAAGAAGTCAAGAATTCGATGAATGAAATTTATGCAAAAAATGTTGGTCAGCCGGTTTTGTATGAGTGGATTACATATCTGAACGACTATTTGACCGGCTTTTGTAATAGTTTCAAAGAGGAATCAATTGATGAAAATGAGTCTCCATCTGTTAATACGGCTGTATCATCATCATCGCAACCGTGCATTCCAACCATAATCAGTGGCAATTCAATGGTGGATCGGAAAAGCACATTTCAAGCGCATGTTGCACAAGTATTCTCCAGGAATGAAGTGAATTTTATTCCCTTTTAATGCATATTCCCTATTTTCTGGATTATCTATACTTTGTCATCAACAAGCATCCTCAGTTTCTTTCAGATCACCAAACCGATTGTAACTTTCATTTTACCGTTAAAGATGAGTTGCGGGATGTAACAAATTTTATCGGCTTGAAATTCTTTTGAAGTACTTCTTATTACCCAAAACTTTTCATTTTATAGGTAATGCTTGTGTTAAATAAGTTGAAAGAAAACAACAAAATTGCTAGAGCAACACACAATATGTATGCATGGTTAACTGAGGAAAATGTAAATGGCCGCTTGATAAAACAGCACGACTGTGAAGTAAGCTTTCTGACATAATCTTTTTTCCTGTTTAATGTCAACCATTTTGAGCTGGCGATGGAATTGGAAAATGTGTGGCAAACTTAGATAGTAAAGTCCTATCTTAGGCATGTTTTCTGTTTGCCATCTTCATAAATTATGCTGATCAGAGCTCGAGTAAGTTTTTAGGATGATGGTGAGGTTGGTGCAGGTGCGAAATTATTGAATTTATTGGAATTGATGAAAGCGAAAAATGTATTAGTGATCATTACTCGCTGGTACGGAGGTATACATCTTGGACCGGATCGATTTCGACATATTTGTAACTTGGCACGTCAGATCCTAGTGGACAATGGTTTTTCTGGTCGCACTTCTTAACTTTAAGTTTTCCCGTTCATCTTACTTTTGAAATAGATGAAAATGGAGGGTGAAGAATTCTCGAAATGCAGTCTCTGAATCCGTCAATGATAAATAGATATGATTATGAAGATGAATTCCTGACACTTTTTCATGAAACATGTGAGGAACTTTTCCAATTTCGCTGTATTTTTGTAGT